GCACTGCATAAATTCAATCAAGCAAGTGAACGGGAGGGGAAAAAAACAATAAACCTTATTTAGATAAGGGTAGACCTACTGCAGAGTAATAAGTGGGAGGAAAACGAAAAAAGAAGTCAGTCCAGGCGAAAGCAGAAACGACCGTGTCAGCATTTCTCTCACTCTGTTTTACCGACTTACACGTCTTGGCTTGTTTTTAAATCTTGGCCTTTGGCTTTCATTTCACCTCTTGAGGAATTCGGACTCGGCTTCCTTTCCAACCTCAGCAGTAAATTTTTTTTCAGCACCAACATTTGATATGTTTCTGTTTTCAAAACTGGAAACTACCAGGCGAAATGCAATGGGCAATACTTTGCAATCTCAGAGCAGGATTGCAAAGTAAGACATCCACTGACCTTTTAATGATCAGTGAATTTCTAATAGTTCTTAAGATTTCTATCCACAATACTTCTACAAAAAAAACCTTGCAAAATGAAATATATTTTCCAAATATTAAACTATCAGTTTGGTTGAAGATTAAAATGACAAAATGATTAAAAATCACTCAGAAAAAGATATCTAGTTTAAATGATACATTCCTAAGCTTTCCAGGGCAGAAAATAGACAAAATCAACTTAGAATGTGAGAACTAAGAACTAAAAATGGGAAGAACATTTCACAACATGTCCTGCCCTGAAATAAACTCTGACCTCTCATTATTCAACACAGCTTCTCGACAACTGTCAGCAAATAGTACAGCCTTGGCTTCCATCGATTTATTGTTTTCAGTTCTTCGTCTTTTTTAGGATTGTTTAAATGGGGGAAGTTACGGTGTGGGTAAACTGGTGGTGGTTACAGTGAGTCTTTATTTACTTGTGCAAAAGAAATCAATGCCTTGGTGCTGTAGGAGAAGTGTGTGGATCAATTTAGGTTTTCAAAAAGCCTCTGGAAGAGAAGAGAAAAAGAAAAAAAGGAGAAAAAATCAATCTCCCTTACATGTTATTGATGGGTGTTTGGCTGCAGAAGAAGTGAAAAACAAAGAACACCTGTTTACTTTAGAAAAATTATACTGCTCAATCTTTGTTTGACGGTTACCTTTCTGGATCTCTTTCTCTTGTTTTTTCTGTGAGATGTTACACAGCTTACTTACCCATTAGTTAAAACAAACACCAGAACATAAGTACTGCCGTCTATTATTTGCAAAGACAGAACGACTGTGCTGAACCTCACGTCTGACATACTCGAGACTGATTAGGCCTAACATGGAGCCTCCTTGTTACAACATGAACAAAACGTCTTGATTTAAAGTTGGAAAGCGTGAGGCTGCTGAACCATTTTTTATCCCCTGGCCCCTCTATTAATAAAACGAAATATCTCTTGGAGCTGTAATGTGCAGTTCCTGTTTTAGAGGCCAGTAGGAGCACTGCCTGGACAGCTTCTCTCTCAAGCCATGTCGAGCTGCTAGCTCACAGGCCAGTCAGAGGGGCCTCTATCCTGACACACGCCCGATATTGTGTAAGTCTGATCAAAGTGACAGTGCTGCAGACCCACAGAGATGCAGGCGAGGGCTGCTGTCACCCCACCTGTCCGGCTGATGGCAACTTGGTGAGGGCAGAGAAAAGTGGTGAAATGCCGATGATGAAGGACCCTGTCTGTACGTCACTCAGGTTAGTGTTGGATGACAGAACAGCTCATTAGGTGAAGCAGGACACAGAGTGATGCCAAATTTAGAGAAATACAGACTAAAAACCCTTCTTTGAAACATTGTTATCATGTAAATGAATATAAAGGCATTGCAAACTTAAAAAGTAAGTTTTGTTTTCGGTGCTGATGGTAGTTTGAAGAAATTTTATTGAGATTATTTTATCTCAGGTTTTCCACATTGTACATTTTGCAAAATGTAAAAATTTTGATACGACTGACAAACCACATTCTCCAAGCACAAAAAAAAAAAAAAAACGATAATTTTTAAAAAATTTTTCCCCACTCAACACTGGTATGTTCCCATTAAACTAATTGATTTTCACAATTCCAATTTGCACAATTTTATGGAGAATGGAAATTCAGTCAGGATGATGTCAGTTTTCCCTTTGATTTGGTTCATAGAAAAAAAAAACAATTACAACAGATAAAAATGAAGAGTTTTGAAGAGTTAAACATTTCCTGAAACTTTTTAATTATAATGGAAGCAAAGCACTCAGTAACACAGAAAATACACGAAACAATATTTCTTTTTAACTCATAGTTCTGACTATTTAATTTGTTTATTGCATTTTGATAGAGCCAGGCCATAACACTGGTTTGACCAGATAGACTTTAGTTTACAGTTCACACTTTAAGTTTAACTGGATCATCATTAAGCTACACATTGTCTGTGGTTATAGGCAAAACAAAAAGAGATGTGTTGGTCAGAGCCTGCTTGATTACTAATATTGCACATAGTATTTTAAAGTTTGTCTTATTCAGTTGTTATCTGCTAACAACAGATGACAACAGAGCAACTCCTCCTTTTTCTACCTAATTTAAATCCTGTGGACTGATGTTCTGGAGAGGTTCTACTTTATTTTGCTTCTATGCAAGCATAATATTTCCACTCAGTTTCAATTATTTTTAAAACATATCTTTTACTGAAGATATGTTAGAGTCGTTTTATATAAAATGGTGAAATATAAAGCATAGAATTTCAAATTTAAAGTCCTCAAGATTTAAAATGCTCAGAATTCAACTAGACTCCATGTTAGGTTTAATGTTAAAAATGTAAATTAGACAAAGCGGGCTGTTTCACAAGAAGATTAGCACAACTTACTATTATACCTGCTTTTTTAAAATCATTTTTGTGTGTCGTGGCTACCATCAATGTCATAAAAAAATTTTATTGTATTTGGTACCTTATCTTTTGTCTGACATAGTTTTGTGGTCTCTGGTTGGCGTCTTTTGTGGGTGTCTTCTGGCACAGCAGAGTCATGGGCTCAGATGGAGATTTTATTTTATTTTTATTTTTTGACAGTGCTGGTGTTACATGGATCATCCTTAGGGAAGGCCAAAAACTTGCCTCAGCCTCTGGTGTTGCTTTAAATAAACCATTAGCTTTTGTGCATTTATATCCTTATCAGAATTTGTGGGAAGGTAGCTGTCAAACAATGCCCCAATTCTCACTAATAAAATTATTCATGTTATTTATTTAACTTCCAAGCACTTGTTACAATCAATTAATGCAAAGAATTTCAAATGCTAAATACTCACTTGGCCGCTAAGTATAAGTATGAAAGGCATATAAGGTTTTATGTTCAGTTTAGACTGAACAGAAAAGGATGCACGTAACCCTAAGAGGACAATAAAAGTTACTAAACCAGACTAAACACAAAAACAAAAAGTTGGCAAAGTCATCCTGATGGCACAGACCTGCATCTGTTTGTTCAGATCTGTAGCTCTCTGTATGCCCACACCTGCCCTCCAGTCACCATTAAAGGGAAAGATGAGAGCCTCAGAGCTGAACAAAGGCATCAGCACGCATCACTTCTGCGTTCTGCTCTGAACGCTCAACTCTTAGCAATCCACTAGCCCCTGACGGACCTATTTACTGCACAAAATGGATTGTGTTTGGCTGCGCACTGTACTTCCAAATGTTCCTCTGATGCCCTTGCTCTTTCTTTCTGCACTATCACCTTTGTTACTCACTGGTTCTGACCACTTCTAAGAAGCAGCACAACTATCCTATTAGTTTATTGCTGTTATAGTACTGTTAAAGGGTTTAGAAAGTTCAGACGGAAATATGAGACAGACAGTACCAGGCTGATGGGACAGACTCCAGCTGTAGAAGCACTCCAATTCAAAAACTCCCCTTTAGACTCAATGTTTTATATCTCAATAGGGAAACAAAGTTAGATGGAAAAAAAAATTCTCTTCAAGCAGCTCTACTTTTTATTTTCTCTGGGGACAGGGTAAAACCTGGATTGAAAAACAAAGAAGTGAAACAAACAAAAAAATGCTTCCTTCGCACAATTTAAACCCAGCTGAGATGAGCTGAGGGAGTTTTGTAAACAACAGGGAAAAGCTGATGGCTAGATATTCTAGATAAAGAAAAGATGGAAAGACAGACTGGGGAATGAGGCAACAGTCCCTTGGAACACTTTTGGAAAAATTGAAGAGAGTGCCACGAGATTTACATTTACAGCTTGGTGATGAGAGAGCCAGAGCTGTCATTCTTTGGTTGTGAATTTTAGGCTCTTTGTGAGTCAAGCCTTTGCACAACAAAACATTTGCACAAACATACATATATTCATGATTTTTATACTTTGACAAATGTATGCGCTTGATCTCCAGCACCCTGCATGGTGTTTTCAAATTACAGCCTTATTAGAACTCAGTATTTTTTTCAAGGAATAGAATTACTCCCAGTTGTTGGTGCTGCATCTCAGTGTGTATATGTATAATTTCACATATACACAGGATTCACTCAAACGAATCCCGTTTTATGTTATAACTTTAGATTTAAACTGCAAATAACTGTTTCATGGGACAAAGGGGATGAATATTTAGTTTTGTCTGTAAACAAGACAAGAGAGAAAAAAACCCTGCAGCTATTCTGTGACAAATTGTGCTTTTAGACTGCATTCATAAAAAATAAGTGGACATCAAAAAGTGAAATTGAACAATAAAACACTTTGATAATGCAAAATGGAAATGCATAATATTTGGCTAACTGTAAACCCAATGGGCCTCTTTTTGTGAGAGGGTTTAACTGCTTAGGAGCACTGTGTGTCTGAAGGGAAAACTTCTCAGGGTCAGCCAGGGCTTTTTAAATACCTTAAGATACTGTAGCTCTAATTACATCAGGGGAGCACAACACAATCATCTTCAAGGATGTGGAGAGCAAACTAGTTATGCTAATGCATTTCTGTGCTTTATCACCCTTCATTACGCACGTCCCCAATCAGTGGTGGCTGTGAAGCGCCCTCGAGAAATCCCAGCTGTAAATTCTGAGCAAATCACTGCTGCAGCCAATCAAACCTGTCACTTACACTGACGAGCATCTGAGGGAATGGTCCACGAGAATTTTCTGCCACATTGATTGGTGGGATCACCCAGTCTCTCTTCTGCCTTCGGAGACCCCTGGTGATGTTGACGTGGGACCCTGGGAACATGATGACAGGAGTCGGTGCCTGCGACGCGTTCTTCTTCTTGTTTTGCTCACTGATGTGCCCTGCTTCCTCTGTGACCTTTAAGAAAAGACAAGGCGCGACTTTAAACACAAGCGTGTATGTGCTGATGATTATAAAAGTAACTAATAAAATACTAAAGTCTCAAGGCAGAAATTCAGATGTCAGAAAGAGTAACGTTTTCATAAAGCTTTACTCATTAGACTAAGTGAGACCTTGTTTCTGTTATTACAGCCACACAAGCATGCGCACGCGCGCACACACACATGCAGCCAAGAGGCACAAACAGCCCCTGGCTGATTGTGGGATGTCAAGCTGTTTTGACTGCCAGGGGTTAATATGGGCCACCAAACTGAAGATTCGCCCCAGATTTTACAAAAATGGGACCATGGAGCAGCAGAGTTGTTTTCACAGCAGTACCAACACAAAACAACTTCTAACATACTTTTTCTCACAAAATACAAAATATTACCTCAATATTTATAATATTACAAGGCTGTAACATCACACAACATATAAAGCCTATGCAAATGGTTATTTCTATACAAACACACAAATTGTTTTGCTTTTTTCTGAGGAAATAATTAGTTATGGAAGAAGGAAATATAAAATAAAGTAGTGGCAAAGTGAAATTGTATTAGTAATTCAACTTGTGTGAATTGAAGGAAAAATAGGAAAAAATAACATGTATAACATAATCTCTGTAATAGAAGCTAAGATTGATCTGAGCAAAAACTCTCGCTAAGCTGCTCTATTATGTTTGAAAAGTGCAGTCCAACCTCTTACAATAACCTTGTTGTTCTGAGAAGTCTTTGAGATGGGAATAAAAAAATATGGTGTTTCAATAGCTCTCTATACCTCCAGCCTAAGGCCATAATTGTAAACTATTCAGTGACATATCATCACCTACACATGGTGTTGCTATGGAGCCGAAGTTCACACTGTATCACAAGCATGTTCTTTAAACTAATTGCTCAAAGGTTAAAATACTCTGAAAATAGAAGTTGTGTCCTCAATGTATTCTGAGAATTTAAAAAAAAATCTGAACTTTTAAGTGCTGACAGGAATGTGACAAGAAATAAAGCACCACCAGGCATCAGACCTGGGCAGAACAGAGCTGGTATTACTTGTTTTGACTGTATATATGAGTGTGAACAAGACCATAAACTTCAGGCTTTGTCATTTATGTAAGATATAAAAAGCCTATTAACAGAAAGCATGTCTGATGTTGGATTTAAAGCCTCTTTTAGCAGACAGTCAGCTGAGTCACAGATATACACTTCAATCATTTATTGTGCTCCTGTCCTCACATATGTTCAGGTCCACCACAAAACTGTCTTTTTGAGAGATGATCAGAAAAGGAACAAAGAGAGAGCCTATTTTCAACCTCTTTACGAGCATTAACTCATTCTTGTGTCAGAACAATCTACATCAAATATCAAGCAATAAAGGCAATGCCACCTAGATTTAGTGTCTGTACGTGAAAATACTTTCAACAGGCACCAAAGAAGAAATAAAGATGTCATCCATTAGACTCCTAAAGCGTGAATAAAGAAATGCAGAGTAGAGGGAGAGAGTTTTATTTGCAGCTGGTGCTATGTGAAGCACCAGCTGCAAATAATTAAAAATGTTGTTCCAAATCTTCAAATATATTACACAAAACTTCAGTTCAGCATTATGGTTAATGACTTTCATTATCTAAAGATTCCTCTCTTTGTTCCTGTGTGCATAATGTTGTACTAAATGCCCTTAATATTTTGATAATTTGTCTGGATCGTTGTTCTACAAAAAATCTACCAACATATCTCAGGGTTTTTAAGCCTCTAAAACCATGTAAGAAAATCAACAATGAACATCATTGCCAAAGGTTGGCATGTCTCCACCACACACTGCTCAGCTATCCTTTGCGCTCATGGTTCATCCTGTTCTCCTTCGCAGTCTTATTGTTCTTCTTTGTCTGTCCTTCCAGTTGCGAGGTTCTGACAGATTCTTCTTAGCAATTAAAATCTAGAACATTATAAAACATTTGGGGAGTCATGGTAGCAAGTATTTGGGTTTGAAAAAAATTAAAAATAAATACAAAAAACAGTGACTGGAAACCACTCTCAAGGAATGTTTTATTAAAGCCCAGGGAACTGTGGAGGTGGAATTTCTGAGTGTATGAATGTTTGGGTGGACATGATGGTGTTTATACCAATGTACAAGAGAAATTGTGTGAAGTTGGGCATAAAGAAAATGGATTAATTTAATACATATTTATATATTATTACACAATGTGTAACACTGTAATATATGATACGATTGAACAGCTAGTCTACATTTCATTTTACAATATCTGTGAAGAAGGTATCAGCTTACAGATACACCACAACAGCTGAGATTTGAATACAGCATGTTGAGAAAATACAGGAGTAGACTACAGAGTAAGGCAACAATTGCTCCTGGCCCATATTGAAAGTTGAAGGTCCTGTACCATGCAGTCTATAAAAAAGTGATTTTTCTTTGACTATCTGTTTGTTCTTGCCTGGTTAAGGCTCCTAAGGGGGTTAGGTTGTATCTGCCAGCAGAAATAATGCTTTCAAGGTTGCTTTCATTAGATGGATGTTCAAGATGAAGACGAAGAAGAAGAAGAAAAAGAAAAGAGAAAAAGAAAAAAGAAAAAGAAAAGCTTTTAAGGCTGTTTTAAAGAAAATGTGTCAAGTAACCTGACTTACGGTTTATGCATGCATGGGTATGTGTGGGTGGGTAATGGTGTGGGCCGTCGATGGTGGGGGGATTCTAGGGTAAGGTGTCATGTTTGTTTTGATCATCCAAACGTGCGGCTTTAAACATCTTGTTCTGCGTTTTCCATTACACTTTCAGTGACAGAGCAAAGGGAAAGATTGTTGCATAAAAAAAAGGATGTGGTTGATGAGGGAACTCTAGCTTGGCATTGGACTTCAGTTAAGAGAGAGTTTGTTAAATTCATCATCATAAGAACATCGACTATGATTGCTCTTTAAATGTCCATGTCAAATATCTTAGAACAGATTTGTATAGCCTACAATGGTAGTAAAAAACAGCTGCATTAAAATCACTGATGCTGATTTTTAGCTTAAAAACTGAGGGGGTTTTTGTGCTCGCTATTTTAGTCATGCATCCTGGAAACTCACTGGTTCCAATGAGTAAAGGCAAGTCTCTGTGCTCTAAATCTGATTTTCTCTTATAACGTTGTGAAAACTGGGCTGTGCTGTTGCAGTTGATTAAGATAGAAAGCTAGAATTTATTTTGGTCAGATTTATATATTTACTATAGATCACTTTGCTCATTGTCTAATTTTATTCTACTTTAATTTTTTTTTTTTGCTGTTTTTTTCTGGGAAACCAAAATACTTGAATTATTATTAAAAACAAAACAAAAAACAAACTACTATTCTGATTAAATTCTGAATTTGGTCAAATGACCAGTTTGTAAGTCAAAATTCACAAGTAAATAGTGAGACTTGCATGACTTTGGACTCAACACTGAGACTTACCGTACCAGTAATGACAGAAAACCCACCCAATGCAGTTGAATTAAAAAAGTTATGCGTGTCTAAAATTACTGATGATGATGATTGTCCACCAAATGTGATGCAAGTATCTATTATGTTTACAATTACTTATCCACAGAACTAGCTTGGTTTAAATGCCTTTTTTTCTTTTCATAAAGAAAATCCTCATTTGAAATTTTTTTGAAAACTGTTTTCTTATTTAATTCAATTATCATTGTCCTATATTAGCACTGTTTCATAGTCTAAAACATCTGATTATAATAAATAAACAAATTAGGACTGTTTTCTTTTTTGAAGTTCACATACCTTTATCTCTTATTTTGGCCACTAGGGGAGGCAAAGTCCTTGAAAAACACTACACTCTTAATTACACTCCTGAGCAGCATGCTGACATGCAACGGCCCACTCAAACGCTGACTCTTTCTCCTATCTGTATACAATGTTACAAGTTTGCAGAACAGGCAATCCAGTCTTCCAAACATGTTTCCATATTCAGTGTTTGCTGTACTGTGTGACAGGTTCACTGAAACATGCAAATGAACCTTTACATTCAGTGCACATTCGACAGACTGGCTTCTGCCAGTACAGCATCCCTATGTGCAAAAACGTGATTTGTCAGTACAGTGGGATGTGACAGATGTGACGTAGGTCTGGACAAATGGACTTTTTTTTCTTTGTAAGACAGATAAAAACTTTGTGATGTTGACTGCAGCTCATGCCTCCATGCCCCACAAAGTAGTGAAACACACAAACAGGTTAAACTGAGATGAATGAGTTGTCAGAAGCAGATGTGAGATAACCGACCAACCCACTCCCACACCCCTCATCTTCAACCTTGCACTAAATCACGTTCCCTTGCACTAAATAAGTGAAACACCATCTGCATATGCTTAGAGGTACTAGTGAGCTCCGGGGGGGGGGGAATTGAAGAAAAAAGAAAGGAGACAAAGCCAGAAAAAAAGAGCATCACCATTGCAAAAAAAACTTGAGAGCTTTTCTCCCCTATCATGGAGCAAGTTTAGTGAAACTTGCTCCTCAGAGTCTTATTCACACTTTGGCAGAAAGAAAAAAGAGTGCTGAAGCATGTTGTAACTAAGGGGTCGGGGGGGAGAAGTTAAGGAATGGTGTTACTTACTGAAACCATTATCAGATATGGTTGTCAAACAGCACAGAAAGACTGGATTTAGATCAGAATTTCTAACAGCAGGTTTTTGGATTTAGTGATTTAAAGGTTGTGTTATTTCCATTTAATCCAGCGCAGATAGAGAGCATATGCTTTGGCATGCAGCCTTGCAAAGCTCAAACCCATAGGCTCGCAAATATAAGACATTTTATGCCCAAAACAAAAGGACAAACACACACGGAACATACACGGCATTAAAATTAAATGCAAAATTAGCATAATTCATACTTGATCCAGCATAATCTCCCACAATAAAATAACATCCTCAAATACATACCAAACACACACTCGCTTAGGCACACCAATGCTATGTGAACAGAAATCAGTGAGTGTGAAATGGATGCGGACCCACAGCCCTGGTGCCGTCAGCCTTAGCCAGCTGGCGAAGGTCCCAGCTCTTCCCCTCCACAGCACCGCCTCCCCAAAACCCTGCATGCTTTGATATCAGCCAGCCCCTGGCTACCGAGACATCTGGAAGTTATTATTCAACAGAGCGCGCCACAAAGCAGCATTTCCATAATGAAACATCACGTTTTGTTTCAGTGCCCTGCGCTCTCCTCCTGAATACATGCCACTTACAACTTGTAGCATACCTTTGACTGCTGACCACACGTCTTGCTCCTCCATCATTCGTCTGTCTATTCAAGTACTATTCATGGACTCACTGGGAAATAAAGCAAAATAGCCACTCATTTGACCTTTAGTACTTTAACACTAAGGCTCATACCATGCGGTGAATCATTTGAATTGCCTGAATTACAAAATTATGTAGATAAAGGCCAGGCTATTCAGTGCATAAAAAGCATATTCATACTTACAATAATAAATCGTTTGTTGACTGAGGTCCCACTCTCTATTTGTCTCTCTGATTCAAGGGCTGATTTTGTGTCACTGATTCAATTTTCTCACAACTACCAAGCAAACACATACAAAACCGTGTCTTCTATGTGTTCTACTTTTTAAGGGATTTAGATACACAGCCTAGGAATCTCAATGCTGCTGAAAATTATTGTGACACTTATGAAAGTCCCAGAGAGTTGTTTTATTTAAAGCAAATTTTGTTTTGTGATTTAAACTTGTGTTAATTATCCCTTAAGACTTGCAGTATTGGAAAATTACTTTTTGAAAGTAAAAATCATTTGTTGGTAATTTTTTTTCTGATGAAAATAGATCAACTTGGAGTTTGAGCTACTACTACCAATTTTCACAAGTTGGTAGTAGCATTTCAACTACTAGGAAAATGCAAAGTTGTTTAAACAATTTGCAGCGGTTTTAAGTCTTTGTATACCCTACATTCTTCTATAAATATCCTGTTTTTTGTAAAAAAAAAAAAAAAGAAAAAGTTTTTATGCGACATTAAAAACAAGAGAGGAAACTGTATGAGAGGTTTGGGTATTATATAATTATAACTTGTATTTCACTTTTGTCTCATTTAGACCTGAACTGGTGAAGAACCTATTGATCCCAGGAAGATGTTGGACCAAGTAAGTGAACACAGTCTCTTAATTATTTGTGTTTTCATTGCTTTAATCTGATTAAGGCTCGTGTTGGTATCGACAATCTGATTTGGCCGTGTGCTTCTGCATTCATGGGGACAGCTTAGCTCAGACTGCTCAGTCTTCGCCTGACCTCTGACAGCTTTTAAATAGAAACGAAAGAGCCAAGAACCCCTGGGGTGCACAGGCGCCGGATGTTTTCCAATAACAGCTTATGGCTAAGGGAAACATTCTCTCCCCCATGTGGCAGTGCGATTTTATCACTTTTAACAGTCTGCCATTGCTGCTACTCTCACCCACTCTCTCTCTAGTTCTCAAATCCCCAAGGAGTTTTGACCTGATTCTGGGCTGTTAGTATCACCAGGCCACTGGAGGAAATGTGATAGAAAAAGAGACCTTTGAGATGATAATTGAAACTTGAAGCGTGATATTTCTGTGTGTAACTCACCTCATTTTCATTTTGCCCTGATGACGACAGGTCAGTCAGGATCAGTTGAACCATAGTCTCCCAGACATTTGTGTGAGGGCCACGCGCTGTCACTTTAAACTGAACTGTCTCATCCAAACTGGCTCCCTGTCCCTTGGCAAAGATGGATCCATCTGTCCGGACATTGAAGACCGGGTCAGTGCTCTGGAAAACCACGGCCTCATTCCCCATGCAGTCGTCAAACGTCACTGTGGACAGAATGATTTAAAAGAGTTCCACATGAAAACCATCAAGGCAATGACAGCTGTAAAATAAAAATGGCACGTATTTTGTTTGGTTGGGATGCAGATGAAATTGCTGCAAAAATAGCTGGAATAACATGAAGAAACAAGTAACATACATGCAGTGGACCCTCACCTATTTGCAGTTCGGTATTCACAGATTAACCTTAAAATTTGGGTTTTTAATGTAGAACATGTCTCAACATTATTTGTGGGAAATCCACCTTTTTGCAATGCTTTTTTGAAAAGCTAACATATTTGGAAAAAAAAAAAGAACAAGCGTTTGTAAGCTAAAGCAGCCAATCAAGGAGTGCTATTTATTTTTCTTGGCCCTTATTGGCACGAAGAGCAGAATTAAGGAAGACTGCTGATAGTTTCTGTGGAGGGACTTAGACAGCTTCGAATGTTCATATTAATATATATCAAGTTCTATTTGGTGTTTTGAACTATTAAACGATGTACTTATAGGGGTTTTTAAAGTGCGTCTCAAGTATTTGTGAATATTAACCATTTGGGTGTGGCTGTGATTTGTAACCCCCACTGGGAGGTAAACTCTATACGGCTTGTGCTTTCTCAGTATTATTGTAAATAGATTGGAAAATTTGTCTTAGAAAACTTGGCTTCCATCAGCTACCTCCACATTAGTTGACAACTGATGTGGAAAAATTAATAACACTTACAATTTGAATATTTTTAAAAAGGGAGTTGAGGGAACCTACACTATACAATATTTTGTTTTATGCTAGATCAATAGTCGCTTTCTAATTGGCATATCTACTCATTAAAACTTTTAACTTTTACCAATGGGACATTATTTAGCACTTCTATAACAATTGACAAGATTAGAGCATACAGAGACAATTTTTCTTTCCACAGTCTCTGTAGATCAGCGAGACTCTTGGGTCCTCTCATGCTTTCTGTTCTTTAGCTCAGTTCAGAAGTTTTCAACAGATTTTATGTCTGGGAACTGGAAGAAGAGGGGGAGTTTGTGTCTGGTGGACCATTTCTCAGATATTTGGCAATATACTTCAAATAATTATCCTGGTGAAAGTCCCAGAGATGACTCATTTACAGTTGTGTGGGAAAGTTTGACAAATTTTAGCATAAAATGTATTTCAGATGGCTTATGGCACCATAGACTTAACAAAGTGCTCAGGACCTTTAGAAGGGAAACCAGTCCACAACATCACAGATCACTCAGCACACCTAACAGTGTCAGAAAACAAGCAAACAATACTAAGCTTTAGCACAAAAACAGCATCACATGTAAAAAAAAAAAAAAAAAACGCCTTACACAAAGTGAAAGAAGGTGGTAGTAGCATCATGCTTTTCTGTCTTTTTACTTCTTTTTCTTCAGTTGACACTAAGATAAGCCAAGGTGAATGTCAGTTCTGGCCTGTTCAGCATCAGATATTTGCATTGAGATAAACTAAAAAAATGACCAAATAAAAAGGAAACTAATATTTCATATTACTCAAGTCAGAGTTTGAAACAAATTTTGTCAAAAAAAAAAAAAAATCAATGAATGTGTATTTTCAGTTTAACATTATTGACAAGCTAAATGATTTATATGCGAGGGATTCAAATGATGTATTATGATTTCAACCACATCACAAACTTCTAAGAGTCATTGTATTCATTGTTTAATGTTTTGTATAAACAATTGATGTCCTCATAATAACACTCATGATCCAAAACTGAGGTTGAGAGTTTGTTTTTCTTCCCTTCACTGACCTTCTCATTTTGCTGAATGACAAGATGCTTGGTTCTCAACCAGGTTTGTTCACCAATTTTCTAGTTGTTTAAAAATGTAAATAACTGCTTTGACTGTAGATATGGGCAAGATTACCAGAGATGCCATAAATGTGGAGGGAGCTCCAAGTCCCTTGACAGTTGGTGGTCATTTACACTTCTTCTCCATTTTGATATTTTGCCATTTTTCAGATACAAAAATAAGTCATCTACTACAGTTGACACTGTCAACTGTTATTTTATAATCCTTTTGACATCACTTTGTTAAAAAAGGACATAATTCTATCCTTTTGTAAGAAGATTTTGATAAGTACATATCAGAATGAGAAAGTTTCTCACTTATTGTTATTTGATCAGCGGTTATAATATCTCGCATGCGAAAGAAAAACACAATCAATGTCATATAACATCTTCAGAAAAATAAGACACAGTTAAAATACATGTTGGATACTTAAGCATTTGTAGGATTATTCATCTGAAAAAAAACTACATTTTTAAGATCAATCATTTCTGGAAGAAACAATACAATTGTAAGGAGCAATACTAGGTGCTTGATCTCCTATGAAAATCTAAAATGATTAAGAGTGGAGGAGTAAGAGGGAGACAAATATTTTCTATTGTGACCTTTCATTCTCATTTACTTCTCCCTAGTGGCACCTGCAGCCTTCAACTCCTCTCTTGAGGATTACAATGTCTAGACAACATATTGTAGGAACCTTGGGCTGAAAGACACAATTCACCTCTATATCTTCTCTTTCTCCCCTCCTACACCTCTACACAGCTGAAACAAGGTTCCAATTACAGAAAGTGACTCTGAGTAAATCCGTCTTTTTGTTACATTTGGACCTAAAGACGACTGTGATCATGTGAGAACCCTCCAGATGTCCAGGCAGCCACTTTAAACTCTGTCAGATGGCACATCCATTCCCTGACAGCCTCTATCGACTGCAGTAGGTGCTACACAAGTGTGCTCTCCTAGACAGGTTTAGATAGGACATAAGAGATGGACTGCATTAACAAAAGCAGCACAAAAGCTTTTGTTTTTTCACAGGATTTTGTTTGTTTGTGTTGCTGAGCAGGTTCACCCCAAACAAACCTCTAACTTGCCAGTTTATGTTTGTCTCATTTGCTTTTCTTTTTGTCAAATCCAATTTTATTTCTCCCCTTCCATTATATTTGCAGATTTTCAAAGATTAGATTTGGAAGGTAGAGTTCACAATAACAAACACAACATTTGGCAAACATGTTTGTACACAAATGGAGTTTTGGAAGGCTGCCTGAATATATTAACAAAAGGGAGAAGTAAAAATGTATTCTCAAAGTGTTGATGCATACCTAAGTTGTGGAAGGCATGTAAAAAAATACTAAAATACAAGTAAAATCACACATAAACATACATATAAGTCAGCCCTCTAGTAGTATGTTGCCCTTTCTCTCCCTGTTCACCAATTACTGTTTCTTCTTTTTTAAGCTAGGCACACAGCCAACAGTGCAGCACTGCAAGGGGCCTGCAGACTGAGTCTAAACACATAGGGAATAGCTCATTTAGAGATCAAACTAAGATGTGAATTTCTTAGTCTTCATTTTTCCTGAAAAAAATCAAATCAAAAATAAGAAAAAATAGAAAATATTTGTATTAACTAAAATCCTTGTAACATTAGGGTGGCTAGAAAATTGAAATTAAAAATAAATTTTTGTGCAGTCTGAAGAGAAGGGGTCAGTTACACCCCACAAATTTTTTACTCTGTGCGGGGTCCGGCAGGGCCGCACAGAAAATGTGAAAAATTAATATTCATTTATTGCCATCAATTGTCAATTGGATTAATGTTTCAACATCAAATGGGTCACACACATAACTTTGTCTTAACCATTCCTTGAGGCTTTGGTAGCCTCAAATGTACTTCTAATTATTTTTGACCAGATTTCGCGGTCCTTTTGAAGACAGGCAATCATTTTGCTGTCAGGTGAAGATGTTAGTTATCTATCACATATAGCTTTTTGAAAGTTGCCCTAATAATAATAATAATAATAATAATAACAATAACAATAATAATAATAATAATAATAATAATAAATAAGGAGAAAAAGAAGAAAACAAATGCAATATATTACAACAGATGGAAGCAAAATATTGTGAAAATTAATGTAAATACAGAGAATATATTTCTAAACAGGTGAGTTTTGAGTCTTGATTTGAAAAACAGAAGGTACATTTTTTGAATGTTTCATAGTAGAAAGTTCCAGAGTTTGGGGGCAGAACAAGTGAAAGAGATGTCTTAGAGTGTTTTCAGTTGTTTTCCACTCATACCAATTTCGAAAAATGGATCGAAGTGCTCCAGGCGATGTTCAAAACCTGCAATGCATTTTATCACCTAACCCTGCTTTAAACATGTTTATAGTGATATCCCTGACCTGTCTGGTATTTTACTTTGTCTTTATGATTGTAGTTTTTTTTTTGTAACCAAAGTTATATAAAATACCTCAAAGACCTTCTAAGAATATCTGCATTCATACTGTGTTCAAGTTTCATACCAGCAGAGCTCTGCCACTGGTTGTAGTGAATATTATCCTATTGTGTACAAGTAAAATGGACAGTACTCAGTGTGCAATTTTGTAGTTTCATTTGCAAAATAAATAAATAAAATTCCAGGACAATTATGCAGTCTTTTGAAAAGTACCCACTACTTTGTATTGATCTGTTCTAAAATACCAAAAGAATACATTAAAGTTTGTGGTTACAATGTGAAAAATATAGAAAATAAAAGGTATCAATATTTGTTTTTTACAGCACATCATAAGAGTCATAGTTTTCAAATGAAATATTGTCTCCTCTCACTCACTGCAATGAACCGAAACAAGTTTGTCTAGCAATTTGGATCTTGCACATTATCATATTCCAGCTAAAACATTGTTTATACTGGTTTATGTATCATAACATAAACCTAAATGTATTGAAGCTTACACACTGTGCTATCCCATTTCTAGATGGAATGAGATGGATGAATGAAACCTGAAAGCTGTTTGTGTGCCAGAACATAATAAAAAATAAAGATACGTAAAGATGGGATCATTCCTTTGAACATGTTTAATTCAACTTATTTATCCATTTTAAAAAAGTATTGCAAAAGAAAAATATGATGTTCAGTTTATCTAAAATGGCAAGCACAACACATCTGTAAACAAGCAGCTCTTTCAAGAAAAATCTGTAAAAGCCT